GAGTTCTGACTCCTGTCCTCTGAAGATGCCAGCCACAGAAACTGGCAAAACATTAGGAAGAAAAACTGCCAGAACACAGCCAAACAGCCTAGAAAACCTACAACAACCATTTCCTGAATATTACTTATCTTAAAAAACTGGAATATTTTAATGACGTAAGTCATCATCTCAATGATCATTATACAAGCACATTAAACATTACTCATAGAGGTGATTCCAGTTCTCAAAAGCGATGTCAGCAGATCACAAGTTCGAGCAGGTTCTGTCAGTTCGATGAAGCTTAAGCATGGCGCCAGAAGTGCATGGTTTGTCTGTCATCCAAGGACTAGCCTAGCCAAACATGGCGAAACTCATCGCTGTAAGGATGGCCACCAAATGACAAACTGAACATAACAACTCTGCATGGAGCAGTTATGATTAATCTCAGTGGAGGGACCACCTGTAACTGTGAAATCACCGCTCATACAGACATTCAAGATACTAACATAAATTAATAGATGCTTTAATTTGGTAAGAATTTGACTTTTCAGGTACACAGGCTAACTGTTAATGTTCATAAAGTTATGCCTCCTCCAAAATAGAATTTATGCCTGATCAGGCACTCCCTGGAAACAAACACTCCTCTTGTTACCAAATTTGCACACTGCTTCATGTCAATAATATGCAATATATTTAGCCCCCTTCTTTCTTTTTCTCTTTAGGCCTATGAATGGAACCAATGGAGTCCACCCACTGCCACGCAAGGGCATGTAACAGGCCTGGAACCTTCCAACTAGCTCTCCCAATGCACCCTGGCTATGTTCCAGCCTCCCTTCCTATCAAGAAGGAGACTTCACAGTGCTTGTAGTGGTTTTATATTCAAATACTAAGGGAATGAGTGCCTTCAGTTTCCAACGTTCCCAAATAACATTGTAAAACATTTTTCTCTACCCATTACCATATTCTCCTAATTTACCCTGAGAACACTGCTAATTTGGCAGAACACTGCTAATACACACTAGCATATTAGGAAAATAATCCCAACAATTTACTTTTATAAGAAGTCAGGATGTTTAATAGCTAAATCTGCAAGTCAAATACATTTAGCAACATGCACTATCTCGAAAGGCAGCTACACGGGATGGGAAGTAGTTTTCCAATATTGTATGTCCTTTGTCTTTCATTCACAGCGGTATCTCAGTTTATGAACACCTCGGTTAATTTAATTTTCGGTTTACGACTGAAAATCCATTGAAAATAATGCCTCGATTTACGATTATTATTTTTTTGCAATACGAAGCAAGTTCCCCAGGATGCATTGTGCCTGGGAGATTTATAGTGCCACCCCCGTGCATGCATTCCTATGGGAAACCGTGTGTCGGTTTGTGAATTTTTCACATTACAAAACGTCCCGGAGAACACATTAATTTCATAAACCGAGGTATGCCTGTACATATATTTGCATACTTCACTTACATGTTTTTACAGCTGCCCTCAGTCCTACTAGTTTCTAGAAGCCAATAGGTGGGAGGGAGCTCAACTCTGCAGAACTCAGATGTGGTGTGCATGTGTGTGTCCACGCACATTTATCTTTACCGTACACTGAATGTTGAAACTGCACTCTGAACTTTTTCCAAAAGCCTAGGTATGATCCAAAATGGAGATAGTGGTTAACCACCTATAGAAATGAGAGAACAAGAGCTGTTTCTGGTTAACAGTTCAGATCAAGAAATCAATCAAACCTTATTTTAGCCCTTATTTTTGTCATCTTTGCTATATAGCAACAATAGTGGCTCTGTTTAGTTAAGGGGAGTAACTTTTCAGCTTTCTATTATTGTCAAAACTGAGAATTATATTCATCCTAAAAATGAAATGTATTTTCTTACAGATATAATTAATTATATAGTGGAGGATGGTTGAGTTTCAAAAGTTTGAACTAAAGGACAAGCTGGCACCGTGTATTTGCAACCACGCTGGTGCCAGCATCTGGCACAAAATGCATCTTAATTTCCCTCCTCTTGGAAATGTTGATTATCTAAAAAATTCCAAGGATTTGCAGTGCTTCAGCTTTATTCTTTGGATGGATTAATAAAATGTAATTATGAATTCCTAGAGAATGATATGCTAAAGTATCTTTTTTTTCTGTTAAAGTTTATATAGCAAGACTCAGAGTGTGCCATCATTTCTGTAGCATAGTCAAACATGTGTATTTTATGTTTCAATTCATTCTAACAGGTTTCTGTGCTTGATGTATATTATTTTTTAAAAAATAAAATAAAGGCAATTTATCAAGAATTAGCTTTTTCTGATCTTTATTTGTTATTCTATGTTTATCGGGATCATATTCATTTTCCAGTATTTTGCTAACAGGATTTTGACAGTTGTCAGATATAAAAAAGGATACTTGAACATGTTGCAGTATATAAATGTAATGTTTGAAATCCTGTTTGAATAACTTATGCCATATAAGGATGATAACATCGCCAGTTAGGATGATTTTTGGAAGTTAAATACAGCATTTCCTACTTCTATCCTGAGGCATCTAGAGCCCTGGTCACATGACAGAAACGTTTTCTAATTCTTTTGATTCTTTCCTTACCTCTGTTGTACTGAATCGTTGTCAGATGGTTTATATCCTGGGATGTACGTCCCAAGAACTTTTAGCGGTACTGCTTTATTTCCTCCTATTTGAATCAGTATGGCCAGCTACCCTATGGTATTGGTTTATTTCCTCTCTTGCTACAAGGGGCAATTTAGCCTCTTGAGTTATGTACTGTATATATAAATCAAAATTTTATATATGATTGCTGGGTCATGAAGGTTTGTCTGAATCATGTCTCTGGAACACAAGCAGATCTTGGCTTCTCATAGCAGACTATGTATAATTACTAGCTCGGTCTTGAGATATCCACCAGCACAGGCCCACCATTAATTTTGCAGATTGATTCACCACCATGAAAAAGAAGGGGTGCATTCTGTTTTCAGAGGGATGGGAGAAATTTATTTGAACTTTTCTTGCAATGGAGGATATATCTTGTCTTTAGTTGACTTGCTTAGTTTTATAAGAACCCCCTTTGTATCCAAGTAGGGAGAGCACTTTGAAAGTGTGAATTGAATTGGATGTGTCACTCAAGGCCCTCTCAGGCCCATTTTAACAATGAGCCACTTCTCCCACGATGGCTTTCTCTCCTTCTGTTGCCACAAGAAGCCATGGAACTTAATACTGGTAAATTACGCGGGGGGGGATTACCCACTTTCTAAAGTTGACCAAGATCACCCAAACTCTTGTATTTCCAATCACCATGTACAGATATGAAAGCTGGACAATTAAGAAAGTTGGCAGGAAAATAGCTGATTTGTTTAAAATGTGGTGCTGGAGGACAACTTTGTAGATACTCTGGACTGCCGGAAAGACAAACAAGTGGGTCGTAGATCAAATCAAGCCTGAACTATTCTCGAGGGGGAAATGTTAAAACTGAGGCTGTCCTACTTTGGACATATCACGAGAAAACAGGATTCTCTGGAAAAGACAGTAATTCTGGATAAGGTTGAAGGCAACAAGAGGGAGCTTCTTGCAAGTGGACCAAGGGGGTCTCCGATACAAAGTGACTAAAATGACGACCCATAAGAGAATTTCCACAACCAGTCTGGATAATTCACATAGACATGACTAATAACGAAATTACCTATTGTGTCATATTGAAATTGCCTGTTGTAGAATTGAGGAAGTCAACATAATTGATCAGAGAGATAAATGTAACCAATCAGAGGTTTCTTGCTCTGTGACCAGAAGGACATAAAAACTGGGACAAGAGGATATGAGACTCTGCATCAGGGCACATGACTGATGTTATCAGATACCTTCTGCCAGCAGAATAAACCAGTTGCCCTGCCATGCACTGCATGGGCTCTCCTCTTTTTGTCAGCTGGAAATGAGCCCAGGAGTTTTTTTCCTTCCAGGAAAGTGCATTTGGTAATCCCTTCCACCACAGGTACAACATTTCACTCCGGTTGACTTTCAATCCTAGTTATAAATGGTTTTAAATTATTTGAAGGCACAACTCCTTTTCCATTTCCCTCATTTCTGACATGCAGCCAGACTTCGTGACCTGGAACTGAGATTCTAGGTCAAGTATAAGCAATGCTAGAAAATGGAAAAACTAACACAGAACGCTGTCTGTCTTCCTCCAATGCTTTCTCAAATACCCCTAGTGAATATACTGTGTTGTTACATGCTGTCAAGTTGTCTCCAACTTACAATGGCCTTATGAACAAGGGCCCTGTCCTCAACAGCCCTGCTCAGCTCTGTGGCTTCCTTTAGGGAGCCAATTCATCTCATATTTGGTCTTTCTCTTTTTCCTAGAGAGAGTAACAAAGATGGCAAAGAATGCCATAACACAAAATTAACATCAGGGCTATGTTAAAGCCCCTGGCAACAAAAACAAAGGAACCAAAGTTTGAAACATCAGACTTCAGGATGCTAGAGCAAGGACTTCCTTTAGCTTCTGCTGCCATCTAGTGTCTTTCCATAGACATTCATAACCTGCCCTTCAAAACAGCCAGCTTTAACAGGTGCACAACTTTAAGTACTCTACTACCAAAATGCAAATACAATCACCATGGAGCATGAATGAAAATAAAAATGGATAGCCACTGGAAATCTTTTGATGATGGTGAAACCAATTTCAAGAGAATACAAAATATACAAACAGGGCACAAGAGTAGCCAGTCCAGCAATATCCCCTTCCCTGAGAGGTCAGGAGAAACTGCAGATGAAAAAGTTATAAAACTTGTATCAGCACAGCCAGTTGCTTCCTGAAAAGTTATCTTTATCTGCCCTTCAGATAAAGGCAGATCGCATCAGCCAACAGACAAGCTAATTATCCTTCCTATTGCCTGAGTTTTTAAGGGATCCACACTTAGAATGTTAATTACCTGTGTTAATAATACCAGTGTCACTTAATAATAATGGGCCCCATCTTTCTGTGTTTGCTGTGTATATATACCCATGGTCTAAATTTAGGGTTTTAAACTCAATTTACCTGGGGGCCGCTGGAGGCAGAGTCTGGGTGAGGCTGGGCCGCATCAGATTTTCCGCCAAGTGGAGCAAGAGCCCGAGGAAGCCGCCCAGGAGTTTCCTTAGCCGACAGACAGGTGGGCGGGCTGGCAGGCTGCAGTTCCGGATGGAGGGGGCAAGAGGCGCTGTCTTGGGAGAGAGCCAGTGAGCAAGGCGGGGCTTTTTTTGACTCTTGACAGCAGAGGATGTGTGGGCACTTTGGGGGGGAAGGCAAGGCGAGGGCCACAAACTATCATCTGGGGGGGCCGCAAATGCCCCCCGGGCCACATGTTTGAGACCCCAATGTGCTCCACATGTTTGATAGTCCACAAAAGCTTATGATGAAATAAAACCACTGAAGAGTGCCACTATACTTTTTGGGTTTATTGCATTCCATAATAAATACCTGCATTAAAATACTTGGGGGGGTGATGCTTTTTCATTGGGTTCTGAGCATGTTATCAAAAAAGTGCCAGGAAAGTCTCTCTGACCAAGATATTCCAAAGTCAGACCAGTGACACGGAGAAGACTTTTCTGAAATCACTTGCTGCCCTTTGCCTGGACACATGGAGAAAGGTCTCGGACAAGGGGTAACCATTAGGGATCAGAGGCAATCCTCAACGTGCTGAGGGGAGGGCCCTCTAAGAAGCACGTGAATTATTTAAGAATAAAAACCAAATGTGAAGTTTGCAGACCATGGACCACTGAAACCAAGCTTAAACTTTTAGCAACGGAAGCAGAAGTTAATGTGCGGATTCAGCCCCTGAAAACTGGAATGGCAAGCAAAGAAATATTCTCAATTCAGATGGAACGTATATCTGATTATTACAGAAATACACTGACATAGGAAAGATAATAGGAATCCTAGATCTAGGTAGTGTAATGAGGGCTCATAGAGATGGAGCATTTGCTTCCTCCTCCTCTATGCAGGTTCATGTTGCATGTTACCATACATGTTCCTGAAACCCCCTTTTTATTTCTTTGCAAGCAATCAGCATCTTTTAAAGATACTTCAAAAAGCTTGAGGAAATCCATACGAGTTATCATTTGTTGTTGGTTTTAGAGTGGGGGGGGAATTCGTTTTGTTTTATTTTTAGTAGATTAGGGCTAACATTGAAAACTTCCAATCTAACTCACTGGATGGAGGCTTGCTTGATTCATGAGATGCTTTTGAGATCACACCAGTTCTTTGGAAAATATTGAGGAAATCTGTGAAACTTCTTGAGAAATCATCTTCTGTCCT